CTTCAAATTTGCTCGAGCTGCATAAATCGCAGCAGTATATCCAGCAGGTCCTGACCCTATGATTACTAGATTCTCAACACTTTTCCCTGGACAAAAAGTCAAAAAGGTAATGGAAGCTTCCACAATGAGGTTTAACAATGTAGCATTTGCATAGGATGAGACAGTAAGCTAGAATTACATAAGCATCAAAACGCACGTTTATGGTTGTCTTGAAAACTAAGATTTGGAGATAATCAAAATTCAAATGATTGGCAATGTCTGCTGAAATGCGTAGTTCTATAGACTACAATTGTTCTAGTTTTTGCATTTCTGATTCAAGGTATTAATTGCTATTAATAATAAGAAAACATTCTATGAATACGGATGAAGAGTTTAATCTAAAACCGCACAGTCAACACGCTCCATAAAAATTTCAGTAAAAATTGTTTTGCCTGAAGAGCTAGTCTGCGCCAGTTCCTCGGTGGAGAGAGCGGCGGAGGTTGTAAGAGACGGAGGCGAAGCACGGGGGCGAGTGGCGAATGAAGCAACTGAGTCGCCTCGAACAGCACGCCGAGTGGTGGAACCACGCTTGAGTGTGAGGAGGCCATGAGGAATGCGGGGGAGAGTAGGAGTGATCGTTGATGAGGCGGAAGCCGGTCGATGAGTTAAGCAGGAGCAACCGAGTCTGACTCGAGGAGCGATTCCGACGCCGTTCGTTATCTTGGGATGAGAAGCCGTGGTGGCAGCCATTGGTTTCGGACCATACGATATCCCACTCAGCACAGTCCTGCTTGAGCCTTGAGTTCGGGGAGGGTGTCGTTTTGTTGCCAGCAATCCTTGCAATTCCTTGTGATTTAAGTTGGCTTCCCATTTGATTTTTCGAAGATTTCACATTAACTACTCTATTATGTTTTTTTGGTCGGATCTGATAAGAATAAAGCTCTGTTCCATTCAATTCATTTTTTCTATTTTTTTCTTATTTTTATTAAAATCAGACCAGATCAGATCTAATTAAACTAGATCAGATCTAATCAGATCAAATTCAATCAGCTCAGATCAGATTCAATCAGATCAGACCAGATCTAATCATATCAGATAATATCCAATCAAGAATTATTATTGTTGTTGTTATTATTATTATTATTATTCTTAAAAATGAAAAAAGAATATACTTTAGAAACAAGTTAAATAGAAAACTGAAAAAGTAATCCTTAATTATTAGACGTCGGAAAAATTATTTATAAAATACATTGACAATGTCAATCTAATTCTACTTTTAAAATACATTTTCATTGCTACATGTAATTTGAATTTCTAAAGTTTTGATCTTTTACTACATCGAGATGATCAACTTTGATCATGACTTAAATAAAGTTAATATTTGGTATTCATTTACGGAGTATATTTTAGTGTAACTCAAATAACTATTATATCAATTAAGTTATATTAATCATAAAAAGAGTTTTGTAGTACAAAGCACACGCTGATATTTTATAAAGATGGATATTTTAATAAAAAAATATACTATCTCTTCTTTATATTGATTATCTAAATTTAATTACTTTTTAATGTATATATGAATCAAATATTTATTCTAATGTATATATGAATTAATTATTAAGGTATTAAATCAATATTCTCATTTCATAAAAAATAATCATAAAATAAAAAATATTATTACATTGTAATATGAATGATTATTCTAATATACGGAGTATGAATTAACTAGTTTTATTTCATTAAAAAATAATCATAAAATAAAAGTAAACTATTGATCATATTATAATATGAACTATCATTACAATTTTCAAACGTTATTATAAAGTCAAATCAAATTATTGATTTGAATTTTAAATCAAATCACAATTAATTAGATCAGATCAGACCAAAACAGATCAGATCAAATTCAATCAGATCAGATCCAATTAGATCAGACCAGATGAGATTAGATCCAATCAGATCAGATCAGAAAAAATAAGTTGAACGGAACGGAGCCTAAGTAATAAATAGAAAAAAAATAAGTTGAACAGAGTGCTGCCTTAGACCCAATCATTGATCCAAGTACCTGTCCTCCCTGTATGGCTCTCCTGAAAAAATATTGGCTTGGACTTGAGTTTTATTGTAAGGGCTGGCCAGGCCCATAAATTACGAGGCTTGTAAGTGATGAGGACCGAGTATGACATGTGATGTTCAAGTCCACAAAAGGTTCGGTAAAAATCTAGCCCAATTTAAAATCCAATTCGACCCATACTTTGACGAAGTGTAATTTTGTTTCCTTTTTGTTTAAAAAGTAGGAATAATAAACAAATAATTTATGTAAATAATACGAAGTATATAACATACAAACTCTTGCATAAGATAAAGATGGTGAGAGTCAAACTCTACCAAAACTTTAAATTCATCTCACTTATTGGTGGGTGTTGTGTAGTTGGTAATGTAAGGAGTGTGAAGGAGATAAAACCCGAATTTGATTTCTGACAACTGCGTTATGAGACAAATATGCTAAGTATAAGATCTCTGCAAGTGTTAGATGCCTAGTCCCCATCAATTTGTGATTAAAACTCAATTTGTCTCCTAATTAATAGCCTTAACAACACCTGCAGCTTCATTCGTCTTCATCGAGCAAAATATGGAAGAAAGCTAGGTGATGCATACTCTTGTCTAAGACAGTATTCATTACAAGCAAAAAGAAATCAAATTTGTACAGAGTAAAATATGAGAGATGGAGTAGGTTCCACAAAATGAAAATGAAAATAGGTTCAATTAATAAGAGTAGCATTAATATGCTAAACGGAGTGATTTTATTTAAAAAAATCTAAAAATACAGGGGTAAATCTTGGTAGTGGAGTGAATTTAGTTTTTTAGTATGGTTATCACTGCCCTTGAGACAACTAATTTTAATACACTTTGACAACAACACTCAAGTAAAACCGCACAACCCAATAAAAGACATTGTTCGTATATATGGCTGATCGGTAAATAAACCATCTTCTTGATGCTGAACAAACAATCAGTCGGCCGGCCTTGTGGGCGTCATGTTGGGGCAACAAGTTTAATTACTCTCCATTCCTACTTCAAGTTCCATGCACTACTCTTCATTGTGATGGATCAGAGACAAATGATCGATCTCATTTTAGAAGTCATCCGCAAGAAGGAAATCACCACGTTGAATACTGAGATGGAGACACTCTAAACGTTGGCGGACAACTATCAAGTTGTTGAACATAGGATAACTTGAATTTATAAGAGAGTGGATGAAGCGAGAAAGAGGATGGATGATCGATCTAGAAAGGGAGGTGGTTGAAGCGAAAGATGTTGCACGGAAGGCCCATGTTGATAAGAAGATCTCTTTAAGGTCATTAGCTAGATAACATTATGGTTTTCATATTCAAGGGCTCCGTCCCCGCCTTTAGTATGTGCGATACCAGAGTCCTCGAGAGTCCAGAATCTCAAGAGGGTGAAGCATCATTTTTTTAAAAAACAAGCCCGACAAGGCAATTTGTCAAATAATAAAGATGGTATATGTTTTATTTGGTCTTGTATAAGATATGTACCTTTTTTTCTTCTTTTTTCTTCAAGTTAGAGACTTTGGATTGTGATGCAGGGTGATTTCTATGATGAGAAACACGCCTCCAAACCCATTCGCCTCTAGCGATTATCATGTTGGATTCTCAACCCTCTAGTGTATACACTCGATGACTTAATAAAATTTCAAAATTTTCTCTTGAGAGGATCTCTCGGGTATATATAATCTCTAGTGTGTCCTAAGGATCCAAGCCGTGTGCTAGGGGGTTCACCCACACTCACTCATTTTGGGGTGCAAACCTCATAAGACTTAGCCAAATTTCAAACATCCATCTAGGGGGCTTCCTGGTATAATATTTGGTGTCATCCTAAGAGTCTCGGCTCATGGCGGAGTCGTCCTTACCCTGTTTTAGGGAAGAATTTGTCATTTTCAGCCTTTTGTGCTATATGTTACAAAACGTGTCTATCATCTTCAAGACACAAGTAAATTACCAATCTCTTTTACAAAGTACCACTTTTAAGAAGTTGGGATTTGTAAGGGGAATCCCACCTCTTAACATTATAATTTTTCATGGATATGTATTGACAATATCTATCTATATGTGCTTATGAAAAATTATAACGTAAAAATAGTATTTTTCTCATAAAGATGTTTGGCCTAATATTTGTCTTTTTACTCCGTTTGTTTTCGAGAACAATTTCTCTTTCATTTTCTTCAAAACACTTCTAGTTTTGCAAAAAATGACTAATATATCCAAGTAATTACAATATATTCTATTCATTTTGTATTCATATAATAAGTTATTTAAGTCATTTGCTTTTTCCCTCGACACTAGAATATAATTGGAATATCAAATTACAAAAATAAATCTGTCAAAATTCAAAATCAAACGGTTTTTGTATAGAGAGAGGATCCCTTCAAACTCGATCGAGCGGTCACCGAAATAAGATAAATTAAACTTTGATTGCAGATATCTGATAGGAAGTAGAGCCTGCACCTATTATTATAAAAGACCTTACACTTGTATAATTGTCTCATATCGTAATAATTAGAAATCAAACTCTAATCTATCTAGAGGCTCCATACTTTTTCCAATGGTACAATGATTAGGGATATTTTTGAGGATAAAGCTATTTGTAGTCCACTTTATATCCCGCAGGTTTGCACCAACATTTTGTGTTAGTGTAACACTAATTTTTGTTAATGCACCAACACTTTGTGTCCGTGTAAATTTTTGTTAACGCACCAACACTTGTGTCGGTGTAAACCATCAAAATGTTTGTGTATAACTGCAGTGTACAAATGAGATACAATTTCTAATGTAAGTGTAGCATGATCCTATTTTTGAAAGAAGAGTAGTTGGGCTGCTGGCGTGGGTCGTTTGTCAGTGTACGGGTGGTTTGAGGACAAAGAGAAAGAAGGTTGCCAAGTCATTTTACTCGTTTTTCAACAGACGCCAAAACCCAACTTTCTCAATTTTCAATAAAATTGTAAAATCCATGCTCTTCTTCATCTTTCACCCGACTCCACCTTTTTCATGACTCTCTCTCTCTAACAGAAATGCACCCTAGCAGCTTCCAGTTGAGACAAGTCCGAGGAAGAAGAGGAGCAAGGAGGGTGAATCACTCTCTCCAGTGATCAATACTCCCGCCGTACTCCCCGATTCTGAAGCATGGAGAAGCACACGGATAATGAAGAGAGGGAATTTAAGAAGAATTCGAGGAAGAGACAGCTCAAGGCGATGCTTCGCAAGAACTGGCTCCTCAAAATCCGCCATCCCTTTGTCACCTGCGCTGAGGTTCTGTCCTCTTCTCTGTATTGATTTTTTCTTGTCTTCTTCTTCTTCTGAAGAGAATGCGTGTTTGCAGTAATTTCAGTTTGAAGTATTTTAAGTTCTTTTACATAGTTAAAGTTGGGTTAAACTTTTCTGTATAATCCCCATTTTTTTGTTTTTTTAAATACAGTAGTGTTTTTTTAGAAACCATGCTGTTCTTTGCATTTGATGATCATGCTGTTTGTAGGTGGCTGTGAATTGTAATGTCCGAAATTCTTCGGCTCCTTCTGTTCGCTTCCTTGTTTATTCATTTATTGCATTTGTAGCACTCACTTTTTGTTAGTACCATGTAATGTTATTTTTTCCCCTTCTAGCATTTGTGTACTGTAAGGTGGTTTTAAGAAAGGTCACATCGGAAAGTATATGCTTTTGGTAATGTTCAGTCATTCTTAGTTTCTTACTACTAAGAGGTCAAGTAGAGTTAATGACTTATACTTTTAATGACAGATTTTTCTACCAACTGTTGTCATGCTGTTGCTGATAGCTGTGAGAAGACAGTCTGACACTCAAATCCATCCAGCACAGCCGTATGGATCCCTTGAATTTTAAATTTTATGTTTAACCATACTTGAATATCTCCTAAATGGATTGTTTTTTTATTTGATGGATGAACAAATTGTATGAAGACAAAATGCAGTGGTTTTCTCATATCTTATGGTACAACACATTAGTTTGTTTCCAGTAAGAGCTTTATTTGGCTGTACGAACAGCCATCACATGAGATCTTAGACATGACCATAATGAAAAGCTCTCCAAGCTCAATTGTTTTTACAATGGTAAAAAGGAAAGCCATTAAATGAAATTGGAAAGTTCAAAATGATTTGTAGGTATATCCGGAAAGGGATGTTCACAGAAATAGGGAAAGGTGATAAGTCCGCAACTTTCAATCAAGTCCTGGAACTATTGATGGCCAAGAATGAGTATTTGGCTTTTGCGCCAGATACCAACGAGACAAGGATGATGATCAATATTCTCTCTCTTAAATTTCCTCTGCTGCAGGTAATTCCTATCTTATGCTCTCTCATCTTACTTTTTTTTTCACATACTCTCTTGCCACTATGTTAGTCTAGTTTCCTCTGCTCATAGCTGTTTGAACTACTTAAAACTTGATCAAAATTTTGTTTAGAGAGCTTGTGAATTATGTTTATGATCAATTGGTGAACTGGAGAAATCATTTCTAACGCGTATAGCTTTCTTGTTTTGGAGGTATTCACGTGACACATCTGAAAGATATTCCCTTATCGTGTTTACATATATACATATCCTAGATAAAGTAAAATATATTTATATCCAAATGTCCAATCACTCGCCTAGAACTACAATTGTTTCTGCGTTGCCCAGAAGAGTGATGCTAGAGATTATCTAGAAATCATAAATTCCAAGATTTAACAATTAGCTTTACCAACTTCTGAATAAGAATTTATAAAAGGGGAAAAATTGAGCCCTAGGCACACTTTGAGTATTGATCTCCTCAAGGTCTATGCTTCTGTTTACCATGAAAACTTGGGGGAAATCCTTGAGGGTCACTGTATTCCTGAACTTTTCAGAAAATGGGTTATGAACTGTGTGAAATTAATTAAATATGCTATTTTCATTAATGGGGGTAAACATACTCTTTGAAGGTGGTAGGGATCCTTTGCCCCCCTTTTGTCACTGTGATGGCATATCTCATGAGATTGTCCACATTTAGAAGCATTCTTGTAAAATACGGAGTATAAAATATAAGGCATGTTTGGGAATAACGTTAGTGATTAGCGTTAGCGTTTTGAAAAGACTATCTACGAGCAGCGTTTAGCGTTAGCGTTTTCAAAGTAAACTGCACCGTTAAAATTTATCCAATACGCTAACGCTAATCTCTAACGCTATTCCCAAACATGTCCATAAATACTCTGTATTACACAGGGTGCAAAAGTATGCAACTGTCCGCAGACAACACAATGATTATTAGCAAAGCGAATGCAGGCTCTTTGAAGTGTGTTAAAAGTATGATGGAATAAAGCAAAATGGCTCTGTTAGAGTCTATCCCACATTGGAAGTTGAATAGAAAAGTAATCTGTATATAAGCCCTTGAGTTGAACCTAGTAATCGATTGGATTCAATCTTTTAATGTGGTTTAGCCAAAGTGTCTTATTACCCAATCCAGTTATCCGTACCCCATTTATCCTACATTTATCATGGTATCAGAGCAGGTTTTGGCCCACCTCGTTTGTCAAGGTCTCCATCTAGACGTTCATTCCCAGCGGCCCGTTAGTCTTTAGCCAGTTGTCCGTATGGAGTATGTACCCAACGGCCCGTGGCCTGTTTAACCCAATTGCTTGTCTCGAAGTCCATACCAGCGGCTCTTGGTCCTTTAGGTGTTGGCATTCAAAAAAAACCAAGGAGATGAGAATTGATTTGCAAGTGGTCAACCGATTAGATTCAGAATGGACCGGTTGTCCACTTGAGAGGGAGTGCTAGAGTCTATCCCACATTGGAAGTTGAATAGAAAAGTAATCTGTATATAAGCCCTTGAGTTGAACCTAGTAATCGATTGGATTCAATCTTTTAATGTGGTTCAACCAAAGTGTCTTATTACTCAATCTATGTTTTAAACATAGGGGTCAGGCTGCGTACATCCGACCCCCCATTAGGCCCTTACCCCACAATGGGCGGGAGCCTTTGAGGCACGGGGGTAATATTGTTGTAATGCGGGCCCTTTAAAGTGTCTTAAACGTATTTTGCAAGATTTTGCCGATACCTCAGGTCTAACATTTATCAAGTCTAAGTCCCAGGTGTTTTTTGGTGGCTCCCATGACAAAATGTCTCTTCTCTCCATACTTGGTTTCCAAGAAGGAAGTCTGCCAATTAAATATTTGGGATTTCCTATTAGTTTCTCCAGACTTAGTGAAACTTACTGCCAACTCCTTACTGATAAAATGTCCTTGAGGATTAGAGAAAAAAAGTACAAATCTTTCTTATTGTGTTAGTTTTTTCTTGATTAATTTAGTTTTGTGGGGCATGATTACCTTTTGGTGTAGTAATTTCATTTTACCCCAGGGTGTTGCGAAGAAAATTGAGTATCTCTGTAGAAGTTTTCTTTTGGGATAAAATGATGTTAGTGAAATAGCTGTTGAGGCTTTGCACAAAATATGTACACCAACAATACTCCCTCTGTCCCAATGTGTTTGTCCAATTTCACTTTTTTAGAGTAAAACTAGACCAGACTTTGATATATAATTAACGGAAAGGATCTTTTGACCTTGGCCTCGGGTGACCTTAAATGACCTTGGCATTTCGGGGTAACTATGGTGCTCCGTTGGTAAAATTGATGGTTCCTACCCCCTGCCCCCCTAGATCGCCGATTTGGCAGGGCCAAATCGGCGATCTAGGGGGGGTGGGTTGGGTGCAGGNCCATCAATTTTACCAACGGAGCATTCTAAGGTCAAAATTCCCCGGGTCAAAAGAACCATTGTGTATAATTAAATACAAATAATATGGTATATTAATAGGAGAAAAAAGTGTTTGAAAATGTTTGAAAAGATAATCTAATATACCTATTTACAGGTATCTAATATTAATTTTATTCAATTGATGATAAAAGTTTGTTAATTTTGGCTGTAAACGGTCAAAACTAGACACGCACATTAGGGAGGAGGTTGGAGAGGTCTTGGCACTAAAGCCACCAAAAAACATTAAGCTGTGGAATAAGGCCTTGATCATTAAACACCTTTGGGGCACTAAGTTTTAAGAAAGACAGTCTCTGGCTGAAATGGGTTCACAGTCTTCGCCCACCACCTTAAAGATGATTTCATTTGGTCTTTCAAAGTGAAATCTGAGAACTGCTGGTACCTTAAGTTCTTAAGAAGCTTTGCAAAATCAGACATGAAGTAAAACATTTTACTGATGCGCAGATGCACAAGGCTGCTGAGCTATATTCTTGGCAGCACTGTGGCAGGGACATCCCCAGAAGTACATTGGTATGAACTGGTTTGGAATAAGATTACTTAGCCAAAACACACACCTCACTTCTGGCTAGTATGTCAAAAAGGTTACCTACAAACACGAGAATGCATAAGTTGATCCCTGATATGGATGACTATTATAGACTGTGTGGGCAGGAGCTTGAAGTTCTAGACCATCTATTTCCAGATTTCCCTATTAATCTTGAAGTGAAGGACAAGCTATTAGAACGATTGAAGATTAAACAACCCCAAATTTAGATCCAAGAAGGAAAATCTGCATTGGCAGCCTCTTTACACACAATTCAGAAGGCCATGAATCTTCAAGTGTTTCAAGATAAACCAATGAATTGTAGACATACTTTTTAGAACTTTTCAAGAGTCAAGACATGGTTATTGGGACTTGGGAGATTGCAACACCTGTTGTGTGACCTCTCATTACCACATGCTTAGAATATATCAATGTTCAAAATGGCATGGCATAACCCGCCATATGGCGCACCTCATGGCAATTTCTGAAAAAATTACGCCCTATGGCGATCTAGCCATTACGCAACAAGGGTCTTGGAGATATTACTCAAACATGGCGGGCAATGGCAAAAGCTTTTTGAGGCATATGCCATGAGGCGTACACAATTTCTCTCCCTAAAAAATTAAGAATTGGGTTAAATAAGTAATTTGCTTAAAAATCATACTCCCTCCGTCCCAGAGTATTTGTCCACTTTCATTTTTGCACACCATCCAATACACTTCTTTAATCCATTTTATCTTGTAATTTGTATATTAAAAAATTATAGAAATTATATATTAATAATCTATATGTTAAGAGAAATCAAACAAGATAACACATGACTATATTTAGGCTTACACATTGAGAGAATTTGATGAGTCAAAGTGCTTAGATGAACAGTTCCAAAAGTCAAAAGTGGACGAATATAGCGGGACGGAGGGAGTAAAATTTAAATTACATAGTAAAGCCTTAACCCTAGTAGATCGCCTCCCCTATTCATCGAGCATCACTCTATCTTCTTCGATTGCTTTGCACCTCTACTCTTCTATCAACTCTATTCTCTGCCAGGTAAGTTTTATGGAGTATTTTTATTATTGTTGATTTTTGAATTATTTGTTGAGCATCATCATCGGCCTTATCACTTCTCCTATTCTTGTTGATTTTTATAGTATTTTTAAAGGTTTATAGAGTATTGACTCTATCTCCTTATCTGATCGGCATCCAGGCCACTTAATTTTTTTTGCTCCATTTGCGTTTACCAATGTATATTTGTTTAATGTATGCAATTTATACTAACTAATTTGTCATTAATTTAAGGTTTTTTTTGTCATTCAAACTTCAAAATTGCATGCATATAAATTTTTAGTCTTGTTTTTTTAGTTAAACAGATTGCTTAAATGGTTATATCCACACTTTTGAACATTGAATTTGAGGCTTACGCCTCAATACGCCTTGACATAAAAATGCCTCGAAATCGCAATATGCAATTTTGAACATTGGAATATATAACAATTTTGTGGATGAGAACTTATATTATTCTTGCATTGTTGTAGTTTCTGCCTTTTGCTCTTAATATTGCTGTACACTGTTGTCCCCTCATGCTTTGTAAACCTCTCATTACCACAAACGTCAACTGCATACTGCATAGATGCGGATGTTTCAGTGATGAGTGGGCAAACAAGATTGGATAAGATTCAGAACGAAGTTATCTGAGGACATGTAGGAGTGGCACCTGTGGAAATAAATTGCATGAAGCTAATTTGAGGTGCTTTGAGCATGTGAGGCGGTGAAGTGCTCTGACCCCAATGCAGATATGTGTGATACTTACGGTGGTGGGTGGGGATGGGAGAAGGGGTGGAGCTAAGAAGAATTGGAAGGAGATGATTAAACATGACCTAAGACTCCTAGCACATACCAAGGATATGACCTTAGATAGGAGCGTCTGAAGAGCTAGGACTTTGGGAGGCGTTTGGGCTGGGTGGTAGTTTCTACACTTGTCATTGTGTGGGTTTTTTGTTTGGTGCTTTCTGCTTGTGTTTTTCCTTCATTAACCTTAGTTTACTCTTTGCTTCTTTTTTTTGTACTCTTTGTACTTTCGAGTAGGTTGTCAATGAGTCAGGTTTGGGTCGGTACTGGTAGAACCCGGCCCGTACCCAAGACGTGTTTGGTCCACTGTTTGTGTTTCTGAACCTGGGTCTTGGTCAGACCGGGTCCGAATTCGGGTCTAGGCGGTTGAGAGTTTTTTAGTTTTATAACTCTAATTTAGACTACATCTTTAAGTGACATAAATAGTTATCTTTCTTTAAGTTTTGAGACTTTATGTACATTCAATGATTTGTTTTAGAAAAAACTAAAAATTGTTTATTTTTCTGATTCAATATTGTTATTCTGACACAACTGTATTTAAAAACTCAAACGCATAAATAGTACTCCAATAAACAAAATATTAATTCTCACACTAAGTTATGGAGTATTTTAGCATAAAAATAAATCTTACCCTTCAAATTAAACACTCTAAAGCATAAACACATAATTAATTTCTACGATCTCATAAAATAAAATTTCTATTTTTTTATATCGGGTCGGGGGTCTTTTGGAAACAGCTTGTCTACTTTTGAGTAGGGTAAGGTTTGCGTACACCCCCCAGGCCCCAGACTCTACTCTCATGGGATTAACTGGGTTGTTGTATCGGGTTGGGTTTAGTCAGGTCTGACAGAGGGTGACCTAAACCTGTATCCATTTTATAAACTTTGAATGGGTCCCAATCTGGTCGGTTAAACAGAGATTAAGTCTACCCTATACCCGGTTACTCGCAAAATAATTGTCGGATTTGGGTCTAAACTCGACTCATTGATAAGCCTAATTTTGAGTGGGTAACGTTTGCGTACACACACCTTCCCGATGTTAGTCGATGTGCCTACGCCTTAGAGGAGAGGGAGGTGAATAAGGCATTTAAATTTTTTTCAGAGTTCAATAAAATTGGTGTTGGTAAATGCAGAAGCAATGAAAATAACGAGAAGTAAAAAAGCGTAAAGTAAGAACGCACCAATTTATACTGGTTTGGGAAATACCTACTCCATTACCTTAAGGCTCCTCCTTAAGGATTTCCGAATCGACTAAGTCCTGGCCTCTTAAACTCTGTCCAAGCACCGCACTAGTTTTGGCAAACAACCCTTGCCAACCAATGGGATTCACCTCGAGATTTCACAACGGCTATCTCGATCCGCTTACAATGAAGATTTGAAGGCCATTTGTTACCTTTTCCCTCAAGGACTCGAAAGGCTATCCTTGAATCTTTTACCCAAGAATTTCTTGTCTATCCTTAACCGTCTACACAAGGATTTATATGGCTATTCTCGACCGTTACAATTGATGAAGAAATGTGTCTAAAAACACAAAAAAAATATTCAACACCTTTATGATAAAGAAAAAGATCAATCCTTGGCTGGTGAAGAACGGAGATTATATTCTCTAAAATAATACAAGATCAACCTAATGAATATGAAAGTATATACGTATAATCACAAGCTCTATGTGTGTTTGTGTAAAATCAGGAAAAAAGCAAGTCCTAAAAGCAAAAATATAAATAACGATGAACAAGCCTTTGAGCACACTTGAAAAATGAAGTATAGAATTGGAGAGTTTGGATTGGTATTTTGAATGAAGGATTATGACCCTTTTTGTAGTGAAAAATGCTAAGTGTCCGTTTATGGCCGTTTGGAGTTGATTTGGAGTACTAATGGTATTTAAAAGTGGTTTAAAAGAAAATACAACACTATTGAAAAAAAATGCCCGTTGAAACGATACCTAGGTGCCGCCTTAACGGTAGGGGGGTCCGAGACTCAGGCAAAAATTCTCTGACGGTAGCTTCCTAATGGTACCCCTTCCGGTAAGGGGTCCCGGGCAGAAGGTACCTAGGTCCCGGGAAGGCAGTAGGGGGGTCCTAGACCACCGTGTAGGTTTTTTCATATTTGGCCAAATCCTTTCTGATTTTGTTTATAACCTTTTGAATGTTTGAAAATGATTATAAGAAGGTTTTAAACACATTTTGTGAGTACATTTGAGCTTGTGAATATAGACATATAAATACATATTCTTACATTGAATTCTACCTATATTCTACACTAGTTTGATGTTTCAACTTTATTCTTGAGAAATGAGAACCGTAATTTAATGGATTCTTGTTGTACCTGAAACACTCAAACACCCATTAGCTCATATATCGTTTGTTAACATCAAAACACGAGATTTAGCAAACCAAGGCTAACACCCGAGACCCTACTATCTTGGGATTCAAGATTCAACTGGGTTGTTGATCCCTTTCTTTGGTAAAAAATACTCCCTCCGTCCCAAAAAGTCCTTCACGTTTCAAAAAAATGGTGTCCCCAAAAGTCCTTCCCATTTCTATTAAAAAACCACTTTAACCCCTTATTTTTTCATATCCTACCTATCACATCATACCTTTTTCCTAATAATCTACACATCACATCCTACTTTTACCCATCACATGAAGGGTATTTTTGAAAAACCAACACAAAATTATCCCTCCCTTATTTTACTACTTTTATCAATATGTCCCTATCTTTATGGGACGGAGGGAGAACCTAATATAACAAGTTTGTTTATGGCGCTTTTTAAATCTCTGATTACTATTCTTTGGTGATAATATGGTTTATTTTCTGAATACAGGCTGTTACTAGAGTTTACAATGATGAAGAAGAGCTCGAAACATATATACGGTCAAATGATTATGGAATGTGTGGTCAGAAGTGAGTAATGTTTCAAGCTGTTATTTTTTAAATGCTGTGTATATGTCAATTGGAATAGTAAACTTAAAGTATGAGCGGAACTAAATGGTTTGAAATTCCTTGCCTCTATTTTATTATTGTTGGGGTATTTTTTGATTTTGTTCTTTGTGGCTGCTGTAGTTATTTATGAGCTTTCTCCTTAATTGAGTGGAAAAAAAGAGATCAAGTTTGCGTTCAGCATACAATGTCAAGGGTCAACTCTAACCATTTTATATCCAGAGTCTTCAATACCGTTGCTTGCTTTTGCCACTTCAGTAAATTCATATTTTGCTGTCCCCAAAGATATCAATCATTTAGCAGTGTTATGAACAATGAGCATCCAATTTATTTGATTTTTCATTCGTGCATTGATGTTTTTTTTTCTATTTTCACTTACTGAGTCAGAGCTTATCGATCAAACACTAGCAAGTAAGGAATCACAAACACCACAAAAGAATAAAGAAAATGGAAACATGTTTACCTCATATCTCTCTTAGTTCTTATTTCATTACAACGTTACTATTTTGTTGTTATATTATTATTATTACTACGGAGTATTACTAGATTTACTACTACTACTACTACCACTACGACTACGACTACTACCACTACGAGTACTACCACTCCGACTACTACTACTACTACCACTACGACTACGACTACTACTACTACTACTGCCACTGCCACTGCCACTGCCACTGCCACTGCCACTGCCACTGCCACTGCCACTGCCACTGCCACTGCCACTGCCACTGCCACTGCCACTGCCACTGCCACTGCCACTGCCACTACCACTACCACTACCACTACCACTACCACTACCACTACCACTACCACTACCACTACCACTACCACTACCACTACCACTACCACTACCACTACCACTACCACTACTACTACTACTACTACTATTATTATTATTAATGTTAACATTATTACATCTATACGTGACTGACGTGTGCACACACATTCTTGCAAGTAATTTTAGAAACAATAAAGTTTGAAGATGTTTATTATTCTACACGTGATTATCTTAGAAAGATAGTTAAGAATATCAAGAGCTTTGTACCTATATAGTGAAAAAGAATCCGTAGCTTTCCTCAAAGCAGGGCTGAAAAAGAAAAAAATGGTCATACTGAAAATGTTAACTAGACAAAATGCAATTGTGGTTACTATGTGAACCTAAGACACAAATTCCAGAGATGAATGTATTCTCTTGCATATAATAGGTGCATGTGATTGATGGGTTAATGTGGTTCTTGATAGTATTGATGTGGAACACAATGCAGGTCTCAAAAATTTTTAAGAGTAAAACATTGCTTTTTAGGTTGATTAATATTTCTTGCAGTAATATTTATTTCCAGTTCCAGTGTCAAACCCATGCCTTTTCTCACTTGTTTGTTGTGAATTATTCCATATGTTGACATCATATTCCTTCTCATGCTCTTTTGGCCCTGGTTGGTTTGTGTTTCCTGTTTTCCCCATATTTTAGTTTTTCAAACTCACTATTGACCATGGTACTCTCCCATCCCCCACCCCTCTTCCGTCTTTGTGCAGGAATTGTACAAACCCAAAAATTAAAGGAGCCATTATATTTCATGAGCAAGGCCCTCAAGTGTTTGATTATAGCATACGCCTAAATCATACATGGGCATTCTCAGGATTTCCTAATGTTGGCACCATCATGGACACAAATGGCCCTTTTCTGAATGACTTGGAATTAGGCGTGAATCCTGTACCAATCCTGCAGTACAGCCTAAGCGGATTTTTCACTGTATGGATTTGTATAGCACCCTTTCATTAGCATTTGATAACTTATATATGCGACTATGGAATAGGATGATTCGGGGAACAAGTAGACCTAGGAAGAATTAGAAGGAGGTGATTAGGAACGTCTGAAGATCTAGGATTAGGGTAGTTGGATTATTGTTTGGACTGGGGTGGTAGTTCTGTTCTTGTGGTGTATGATTTGTAGGTTTGGGGTCTTTCTCTTTACAATTGTTTGTGTGCCTTTTGTCTTATTACGTTTTTCTTACCCTTAGTTTTCTCTCTGTGTTGCTTGAGCTGGGGTATATTGGAACAGCCTCTCTACTTTTAGTAGGGGTAAAGTATGCGTACACACCCCTCCCTAGACCTTACTGTTGTGGGTTCTACTGGTTGTTGTCGTCAGAATAGGATGATTATGATGATGCTGTTAATTCTCTGCTCTAAATTGCATGTTTCTGAATTGTGGTTTGAGTTTCTTTGTTTATATTTCTTTTGGTGTCCTATAAAAATATAATGGCAATCAGGGATATATGTTTTTCTTTTGTTATTTTTGAATTGTTGATTCCTCTTTGACTACTCAATCGACCGTTATTGCTTATTTATGAACACCCATTGTTGCTGCTTCCTTTCTTGATGATGTCCTGCCGGTAGGGATGAACCAACGGTAAGGGATGACGGCACACAGCGGCCATCCGGTGGCTCTAGGTAAGTCCCCCTGCCTCTGATCAAACCCACCCCCATCCCCAGCCCTCTCCGTAGCATTCCCAGAGCCCACCGCCGACCAAACCCCAATCCCATATACCAAATCCCAGGTCTATCCCAATTCCCGCACCAGTTGTAAACCCTAAGCCCGCTCAACTCTTTTGCCATTGTAAGCCCTCAGCAAGACCATCCTCCTTTGACACAGACCACTCCCCAACCTGGAACTTGATCCCCCCATTGCCCAAACCAAAATTTGATCCACCCCCACCCACAACACTTCCATTTAGTTCATTTTTGTTTTTTTATGCCGTATTGTTTTAAACTTGTTTTACTGAAGGTGTGGTGGCTTATGTGGTTTTTATTATCTTGTACTTAGCCTGTTATCGATTTGTGTTTTAGCTTGTCTTTTCCATACATTTTTGGTGGTGTGTTAAAGGTGAAAATGACAAGGTTTTGATGGATGCAGTGGAGGATAGACTGAAGGAAGTCTTACTTTTATAGCCTTTGTGAATGCTGGAGGGATGAGAGTCTACGTCTAGCTCTGAGAATTCTTGAGATTTTAGGTACTGCCCGGAATTAGATAAGAAGAGGTGGTGAAAGCTATTGGCAAGATAATGGAGGGGGGTGGGGTGGAGTGGGGGTAGAGCTTTGGGATCAGATGAGACCCTAGGGGAGTTCTAGAAGATTGTTGGCAAAGATGATGGGTTGGTGAGGATCACCAAG